CACACACGTATAACCCTGTTTCTCGCTCTACCGGCGAGCTTTTACGCGGGTGCACCGGCGTAGCTGTTGCGCGGCGGAGCTGAAAACGAGCTCCCTTGGGAAGTGGCCACCCGTAGTCCCCCCCCCTCCTCCCGCTCCTTGTGTTTCCCCGCAACCCACGTCCATAGGATATCCAAGGGAAGACCGACCACTCTCCCGAGACCGGACTAGTGCTTCTCAAACACAGGCCCGGCCGGCCCTTTCCATCCTTCATTACCCTTTCCCCCGCCTTCTCCCGCCGTCCCCCGCCTTTACCGCCCCGCCGAGAGATCTTCTCCCGCGAGTGCTCCGCGGTATCCTTGTCCACGTGCCACGCGAGCGAAACCCCTCCCCCCCCCCCGTCGTACTCCTTTCGAAAACGCCCGGCTCCTTTCCTACGTACGTACGTACGTACGTACGTACGTACGTGCCTCCCACCGGTGATTAACCACCTCCCCTCCCTTTCCCCTCTGAAATTCTCCTCCTCCCCACTCTATCTCCATCTAGCGCGGAGCAAAAATCGCGCGGAGCGGCGCTGTTCCACGTTTCCGCTCTCTCTGCGGCTGGGCTGGGTGCAGAGGGGAGAGGAGTGGTAACGATGCCCGCGCTCTTTAATAGGCGAAGTTCCGTTTCGGATCCGTAAAAATCGACTCCGACTGTCGGTGACTTTATCGATGGAGAAACAGAGAGAGAGAGAGAGAGGGAAAGAGGGTAGAAGAAGGAAAGTGGTAGGAGAAGGATGTATATATATATATATAAAGGGAAGCCGGGCGAGGAAAAGAGCGAGAAGAGTAACGTTGGGGAGAGGGGAGGAGTACGCCGGATACGAGAGCCAGGCCAGCAATATCGAGATGAGTTATTGTTCGCGGTGCACAATACGCTCAAATATGGAACGTGGCCGAGAAATTGATAGAAAAAAAGAAAAAAAAGGAAAAAAGAAAAAAATTCTACCGAAGCGCCTTTATTAATTTCCGCGTCCAACGTCCCTGCCGAAAATATTCTTATGGAAATATGGGAGAAATGTTGACGAGGGAGAGAGAGAGAGAAGAAGAGGAAAAGAAAAATCGTAATAGGGGGAAGCGTCTGGATGATTTTGGTACTCGGAGGGGGCTGCGAACGAGTTGGGCAAAGGGGGACTGGGAATTGTATTAGTTGGGTGCGCTCGCGCGATACTAAACAACGTATCGTTGTTAAATAGACTTAAATCTCCTGGCCCTCCCCATCTTTGACCGATCGATAATTCCGAGAGAATTCCGTGTGTTAGGGTGTGTAGGGTGAGCGAGGGAGGGCGAGGGAGCGAGAAACGCGGCGACAAAGGGAAATGGAGATGGAAGGAGCGGGGGGTCCCATCTCGGTTTCGGCGACGACGTTTGAGAAAAAAACGCCAGGGACGAACGACGATTCCTCGTATAATCGATTTGCGCCGTGCTTCTCGACACTTTCCTCCCGCTCTTTCTTTATCCTTTATCCCCCCTTTATTCGAACGTTCGCGCGAAAAATCGAGGAGGGGAAAAAGAAACGAGTCGCCTCCTCTCGTAATTCCGATTCCGTGAGCTACGTTTTCGTAGCGAGCGAACGAGCGGAAGCGAGGATTCGTCATCCGTCGTCCCTTCCGTTCGAGGCATCGCTGTGTGTATCTCTCGAGGACAAAGTTCCCCCCCCCCCCTCCCCCCATTCGGTCAGGTCGAAACGGTGTTGTCGACCGTTTTCCTTTTGTCTCCGTTTCCGCCGTGTTCCTTTTCCCCTCGAGGGAACGCGAGAGAAGAAGGGAATTCTCTCGTTCGTTTTATGGGAACGCGAT